AATCAAGTTTAAGTAAGTCAAATGAACAAATAAATCTAATTACTTATAAAGGTAATAATATTTTGTAATCTTTAAAGTCTTAATTATAATATTGTTTTGCGGGGATTATTCTTCAAATTAATAATACTTACTTTAGTTTATGCATTTAAAATTAATATTAGCAATAAATGAAGCATTGAGTTTTTATATTAGTAAAGGGTTTTCACTACAAAGTTTCAAGTTCCATGTTGTTCCATGTTTCACAGTAGTTAAGTGTAATTAACAATATTTTTGAAAAAATGTCTGTGTGTCGCTACACTCCTCTAGTTCGGCCATCACTATCTCTAGTTCGGCTGAATTTATTTTGATGAAAATTATACACTTATCTAAGTTTATTTTGATTATGTCATGTATTGCTCAACCTTTCGAGTATGACAGGTCTCAGCAACTGGACTTTCAGCAACTGGGTTGATATAACATTTTTCCTTATTTTTAAAGAACTAGTTGACGGATTTTCTTCAAATTTAATATTTCAGTTCTATTTGTAAATAGAAATGGCTCAATGTAAACAAAAAACAAATACTTAGTAATCATGTGAATTACAGTATAAAGCAATGTAGAGAACATTTCGTCGGCAATTTCTTCATGCCTCTGTAGCTCAGTTGATAGAGCGTCCGCCTAGAAAGCGGTAGCTCACTGGTTCGAGTCCAGTTCGAGGAGAAAAATTTTTTTAATGAATAATTTTTCTGCCTTTAACTCGTTCCTTTGATTACGTCATCCATCTGTTCTGCAGTTGCATGAAGAAATTTCCATTAAGATAAAAAAGAAATGGATCGATTTTTTAAGGAAATCGGATCACAGAAAGTTAAATTCTAAGAATAAAATTTACATTTTTAGAAGTGCGTTAAATAAAAGGTTCCATAGTTTTCATGAAATTTGAAATAAGTGGTTAAGGAACATTTCCACAATTTTGTGCAACTTCTTCCTTCAAAACATAAGAATATTATTAGCAGTTTCTTAAAATTATTAAATTCTTAAAAATTTAATAATATCTTTTTACAATATATGGAACTCAGGATTAAAAACTAAAAATTAAGTTAAGTATAGCCTTGACTTCCAAAATGCATTAATATACTATTCAGCAATTCACACTTATAAGCTGAATTGTATATTAATTTTGTATTACTGCATTTGGAATTCAAAGTAGTTTTGAGTATTGCAAATAGCATAATTATAAAAATTTGAAAATAATTAAATTGTTACTTGATAGCAAGCACTCAAATGTTAATGTTTCACCTAACTCGCTTTCAATAAATACATATGTACGTCTTTAACGAATGTATTTATTCAAAAATATTATGAGTTTTTAAGAAAAATTTTAATAAAACTTTATTGAGAGTGCAAGAAATTTTCGCATTTAATTGTAAATTTTCGGAGGATTTTTTTTTTCGAAAATACTAACTTTTAATTCATGTAGAGAAGCGGCAAAAATAATTTTTTTAAAATTATTTATTAAGCACGTTTTAAAATTTTTTACTTTTATTTTGAATAAATTACAAAAATTTTATGAATAAAAAATTTTTAAATTATTTTATTTTTTTCTCAATTATTTATTCGTAGTTTGGCTCCCCTTGCACAACACTTACTTATTTTTAAATTGTTTTGAAAATTCTATTTTATTCTTTAATACTATAGGGGAGCGAATAATTTCTTTAGTATCTTTTTTTCTCTATAATTTTTCAATAAAATTTATAAAATAAAACGACATTTTCCGATTAACTATAAGTGTATGTAGCTGTAAGGAAGGAAAATTTTATGCAAGGAATTTTTTAATTGTTTGAAAGTGTTCCTCCAGAGTATTTTTTAACCCCAAAAGCAAACTGAGTATTTTTCACAATTTTCTAAATTAAAAAATTTATCACTAAGTAGTTAAGAATGCTTTCTTAATCTAAAAAAAGAAAGGGAAAAACTTGAATTAAATTTAAAATTTTCTTAATTAAAATTTTGAAATACAAAAATTGAAATAAAAATTTCATTATTTCCTTGGAGATTTTATTGTTGAAATCAAATCTTTAGAGTTTTTTCTTTAATAAACTAATTTTAAATAATATTTGCTATGATTTAACAGTATTAATTATATTTAACAGTATAAGCAAGAGCTTGAATATAAATGTTGGTTGTCTTATACATGGGTTTACTAGTTAAGTTCACAAAATGTTTATATTCCAATTGGAATGCAAGTAATGTTTCGGCATTAATTTGTAAGAAAGAATTTTCAAAAAAATTTTATATAAGTTTGTAATTATAATAGCTTTGTTTAATATTTCAAATATACTTAACTTGACTCTGAAATTGTTCTTAGAATTAATAGAATTCGTGTTTGATTCGAGTTATTTTAAATTTAATGATAAAGTTTATCAACAGCTAGATGGAGCAGCGATGAGTAATCCAGTTAGTCCTTCATTTGCTAATTTAATAATGAATTACTTAGTAATTGCAACGGTTAAAAAATTAAAATTCAAAATTCGTATAATGAAAATATATGTAGATGATCTATTAATGGCAATACCGAAAGACAAGGTAGAGGCAGTGTTAGAGGTTTTTAATGGTTTTCACAATAGAATAAAATTCACATCGGAATCCGAAAAAAACAATAGGCTTGCATTTTTAGATGTGTTATTAATTAGAAATAATGATGGAACGATCTCCACAGACTGGTACTTGAAACCTTCTGCTTCCTGCAGAATATTAAATTTTCTGTCGCAACATCAAGTGCAACAAAAAAGAAATGTAGTAATAAATATGTTAGATAAAATTTATTCATTAAGCTCTGAGGAATACATAGAAAAGAATAAACAAAAAATGAAAGAAATATTAAAAAACAATAATTACCCAAAATTTTTCATACATCAAATAATTAGGGAACACAAAAACAGAGACAATAAAAACAACATACAAGAAACATTCTCTCCAAATTCACACAACACCAAATTTTTAAAATTTCAACATATTCCGGAAATAGCATACAAAATCAAAAATGTCTTTAAACCATATGTGCAAAATAACAATTTCATTTTCTATAACAAAAAGGTAGTACGCAAACTTTACACAAAACTTAAAGATAAAGAGGACAAAATAACGCAATCACACTTAATATATAAAATAAATTGCCAAGAGTGTGAAGCGTGCTTTGTAGGCCAAACAAAACAATATCTTAAAAACAGACTAAATCAACATAAATATGATTGTAAAATACAAAACATTAATAAAACAGATAAAACAGCATTAGCGCAACATCATTTTAACCATGATCACACTTTTTATTTCAATGAAACACAAATAGTAGACAGGGAGAAAAATTGGTTTAAGAGGAATATAAGTAAAATGATACACATAGAATTAAACAAAAACAACATAAATTACAAAACAGATATTAACACAGAATAATATTTAAAATTAAATCGAAACGTTGGTGAAAAGTTAAAAGAACATTGTTTTATTTGTCCTACACCAGACTACACAAAAAATTTTAAATACTAAAAATAAAGGACGCTACAATTAGAACTTCAATTTGTATTTAATTCAAAAATTTGCGTTGCCAGTCGTATAATATTTTAAGAATAAACTTGTATGAGAATTAAAAGAACTATTAGTAGTATATGTACTTATCTTAATTGAAGTAGTTAAGCAATTGCTACAGCGACATTAGTGATGCATAAGAGCAAAATGTTTTTGTTATCAATCCGATGGAAGTATGAATCTAATTTTTGCAAGAAAATGAAAAAAAAACTTCTTTTTTCACATTATTAATATTTACTTTGCAAAAACATTCGCTTAAGGCACTTACAAAATTTTAATCCAGTTCTTTATTTAATAATATTTGTGCCTCATAATATTAATACTTATTCATTTTTGCGCTCTCAAATGTGTCAAAACACAATGTAAAATGAAATACATTGCATACATTGCACATACATACTCTTTTGTTTATATACATTGCATCAAATAGTTTTCATTGTCACGTAATTTCCCATCGACGATGTCACGGAGGTATTTATTTAACAGCTGTTCATATTTAAGCTTTGATGATTAATAAAAATAAGTTTGCAAAATTTTCTAATTACCTAATTTACTAAGTTTGAGTGTAAACAAATTTTGTAATTTAAATAAAAGAACAAGGGTATTTAGTAAAATTCTTGTAAGAATAAGATTAAAAAATAAAATATTTCAATTAAACAAAACGAGCATTAAATATGTAGTACATTAGTGACCGGCTAGTTAAATTAATATTTCCCAACATTGTCTCTTACACTCAGGATTTCAAAAACCTTTAATGTAACAATATCAATCATATATCAAATCCTCTTAAATACTTATACGTATATTGAATCAAACAGATGTGCACAGTATTAATTATATTTTGGAAATTTTATTGTATTAATACGCAAGTATTATTATGTTTTTGGAGTTTAAAAGCTTCTAGGCAAAAATAAATACAAATTTTTCATTAAAAATATTATGAGGACTGCATTCCTAAGATGAAATCTGTTGTACCTTTAACAATTTAGGATGCGAGTTTTAGATTTTGTCGAAACGCATAGAGAAAAACCACTTTCATTTTGGAATAAGTATATTATTAGAGGATGATTGTAGGTTTAATAGAATCTGTACACTTATTGTATACTTAACATGATTTAATAAAATTATCCTTGTTGGAAATAAAGAATCTGACTCCAAATATTCGAGAATACGATGAATAAAGCAGTAGGGGCGATTACAATAGAAATAGTGCGTCTTATAGAAATCAAAAACTAGAATGGAACAATATTTTTTAAATGGACGAATAATGAAACTTAAATTCGACATTTAACACATTCATTTTAATTAATTTTTTTATTTTTCCACAGCAAAAAATCAATTTACTTTGCAATGTTAGGAATTTTTATTTGAATAATTTAAAATATTAATTACTTGAATAATAAATAATTAATTTAATGTCCTTTTCTTTTTATATTTTCAAGTAAAACTTTGAGAACACAAAAAGGACACATAACAACAATTTTGCATATATAAGAAGAGGAGAAACTAAATAAAATTTCAGAAAGTGATAAAAACTTGCAATTTCAGTGCAATAAAACATTTGTCTTTTTTTTCTCGTTCTAATTTTTTTTATCACACATTTTTTTTTTCATTTCAAAAGATAAAAGCAAAAATAGAAAAATAGAAGGAAAGAAAAAGGCAAAAAGTGAATGCAAGCGAAAACTTTAAGTGTGTGTATATTTACACACACACACAAATAAACAAATTTTAAAAATAAGATAGAAAAAAAAATGGAGAGGAGGAAAGAAGAGTGACAATCGAAAGCCAAAAAAAAATGAAAATTTTTAAAATTTAAAAAGGAAAACAAAACAAATAAATAAAACAAAAAAAGGTAAAAACAAGAATAATAAAAATAGAGCAGGAAAAAAAAAGGATCACAATAATAAGAAAAGAAAACTGATAGACGCAAGGATACTCACTGTTCCTTGGTCATTTTTTATGTTTTTTTTTATTTTTTAATTTTATTTTTGTTTTTATTTTTCTTTTATTTTCTGCCAGTTTTTCGTGTGTTCTATTTTAAGATTTTTTTAGTGTTTTTTTTTTTTTTTGAATTTTTATTCGGTTTCTTGTTTTTTGGTGGTGAAAAACGACAATACACACACACACAAAGAGAAAAAAATTTAAGCAAAAAAAAAAGAGAGGTTTTTTACTTTGACTGGTTGAAACCATTCATTATGGTTGATATGCAAAAAAGTGTCTCAGTACAAGTAGATAGTGATTTTGCTTTACTTTTACCCAGTGGTGTATACGAAATTAAAAAAATGGAACCAAGGTCAAAAATTCGAACAATTATATTATTTTGTTTATTTTTGGCAGTAGCTGGTATCATCGGTTTTGGGTATTTTTGTCAAGATCAGGTAAGTTTGCCTTTTTAATTTAAATTATTAATAAATTTAAAATTTATAACTCATAAGTAAATTAATTCCAAATTTACAAATATCTCTTGGATGATACTTGATTTCAAAATATTAATGGATACCGAATTCTAAATTGAAGTGGAAAAATAAGAAATAATTAATATTTTTAGACAACTTTTTCTCTCAAATCAGCCTAAGTGATTGGGGTGGGTTTAACTAGGTTTCGATTCTAGATTAATTTCATAACGTACATACGCTAGTACTTTCTATGATCTGAAATATTTTTGGTGTTCACCTTTATTCATTGTCATTCAATAATGAAATTTTTAAATGATTTTTCCCAACTAAGAATAATCCCATTTCAGGGATTAGGAAATAACTTAATGTTGATCAATTTTATTTAAATTGACTTGAAAAAGAAATTCTTTTAAAAATTTTTTGTACGGATTAAATTGAACAAAAACGATTTGATTTTCGTTATATGCGTAAAACCCGTCAGAAAATACAAACTAATTAAAAATAAAACATTAATAAATTTCGAAACTTGACTTAGCAAGACAATTCCCACATAACATTGTATAAGATCTTGTAAATTTTATTAAGTACAGCCTGAAAAACATAAAATGTTTGTTGTTTTAAACAAAACCCTAAGCAAGTTGCTCATTATAAGTAAGTTTAACTTTCCGGAAAATGTTTATTAAAATTGTTTTAAAAATAATTATTTAAGTATTTAAATTTCATAGTTTACAACAATTCGACGCTTAAATTTTTGATAAAAAAAAATATTTTCCTTATTTTGAAGAATTTTTATAATTCTACACTTAAGTAAGTACTAAAGCAAAATTGTTTGAATTTAAAATAAAAATATATTAAAAAAATATTTTTTCTCCCTCAAAAAATATTAAATTTCTCGCATTTTATTTATGTGTCCAAGTATAGAAAAGGAAATCTGAATTAAAGAATTTAAAAATTTTTACCAGCTTTGCGTTTAAAAGATTTACACAGAGGCAAAAAAAAAAGTATGGTTACAAAAAAATTTCAATTCAAAGTGTGAAAAATCACTTTAAATGTATTAGAAGTAGAATAAGAAATTAAAAAATTTTGAAAGTTGTTATACTTAAACACTTATACATTTAAATTTCAACTATAGGTGATTTTAGTCTTATGAGAAATTTTAGAAAAAGGATAACGTATTACAAATTGAAATTTTGCCAATTTATTTTGTAAAAATAAATAAAAGTTTTTTTTTTTTGTTTTTCATAGTGTATAAGATTGAAAAATTGCAGTTAAGGTGTTGTTTTAATAATTTATTTTGTATAGAAGAATTCTATTGTTTGTAAACTTTTTGTAATTTTAATGTACATTCATATATACATATACTTACTTAAAGTATGAAGAAAGCAGAGAAAATTCGGAATACTGAACTGAAAAAAATTTAAAAGTAGAATTTAAGAAAGAAAATGCAAAATATTTGAGGAGTTGAGTACAACATATAACAGTTATGGGGATATGTACATTTTGTCGTCCATAAATAGAAACAAGATTAGAAACTTGTAATATTTTTAATACTTTATTATAAACTTTGTATTTGTACTTAACTATCAGATTTCTTCTGAAAAAGTACAAAAAATTATGGTAGCAAAGTAACAAACAAAATTTAAATTGAATGAGAATCGGTCGAGTATTCGAAATTGGAATTTCTCACACGTACGTTTACAGCTTTTACAAATAGAGAAAATTTTTATAAATCCTTACTCAAAAGTATTAATATGCGGCAAATGAAGAAAACAAATTTACAGGTTAAAATATCTGTTTGACACGTGATATGATCGTAATTTGACAATTCATATTGCAGTTATGATATAGGAAAATTGATTAACTATGTGTTAAATAAATTTTTAGATTTTCAAGATTCAGCTTTAGAACAAATTTTTCTTCAGCGGCGAATTTTCGCATGCATACTACAATTAAAGACAGCGGTGAGTTTTGGAATACCCTGCACTATAAATTTATATTACAACTAATTTCGTTTTAATTCTTCTTTCCACTTTTATGTAACCATAATATGAAAACAGACTACCGAAGCGCAATAATTCCGCAGAGAGTTCCGAAGATTGTGAGAAGTGATAGTGATTTTGCTAGTTTGTACTCAGCTAAGTTTAACTAGTCCTTATTCGATTAAAACTAAATTAACCCTTTAGCCGTGTATTGACGATTTCCAAGCCGAGGGCCCGACGACTTGCAGAATGACGGACATGTTTGAACAAAACTTTAAATAAAGTTTAATAAAGTAGATTAGTTCTAACTTATTTAAAGTTTTTTTTTTATTTTATATTTTTTAAATAATTTAATTCAATCAGAGCCGCCAAACCTTTTAATTTTTTTAATTTAACACAATACGTTCTTTTGATTTCTTTAAAATATGTAAACTGAAGTACTAAGTTTTTTATAATTTGTGTATCTATGTGTGTTTGTGCGTAGACAATTTGATTTTAATTTCTCAATATACCTTTGGAAGTTTCAGTAGAATAAATGAAAAGTAAAAAAAAAGGCAAGCAAAACAATTTTGAATTTAATTCAATTTGTTACAATTTAAAATTCAGTCCCTTTGAGAGATTTAAGCTAAAAAAAAAAAAGCAAAAAGAAAAGGAAGGAAATTTAAAAAACAAACCGAAATAATGGAATGGATATCCGTTATCCTTGAAACTTAAAGTATAAAGGCAAATATTAAAATTTTCGTTTTAAATTTCTTTTTTAACTGTAGAACTCATAACAAAACAAAATAACAAACAAAAAAAATCAGAACATAAAAAGGCGAAAGCATCAATACAATTAGGAATTTTGGTGTTTTGATTTTGTTTTTGTTTTATTAGAACTTGTTAGCAAATTAATTGCGATTTTATTTTTCTTTTTGATTGCAACTTTGGCATAAATGTGATATATTTAGAATAGAAAATCATATAAAATCTAGCTGGATGCTTTGAGACACCAAAAATTTTTCGACTTAGTTGTTAAACTCCAATAAAATCCAATAACTTTTCTTACAACTATTGGGTTTAACTGTAGGCACCAGTTCTGTTTTAAAAGTTCTATTCTTGAATATTTCGGTGCCATTGAACATTGAACAGAACGCTAGTATATTGTTCCCGTAGAAATAAACTTCATTTTGAAGAGAATTGCCTCAAAAATTAGGGATACCATAATGTTGTGTACTTAAAATAATGAAGTCCGTCGGATTTGGTTTGTCTCTTCTAATTTTTGTTTTGCGAACTGAATCCGATTTTTTCTCTTAAATTTGAATAATTACATTCGAACTTTTGGATATATGAGGGGGAGTAATAATTTCTGCATTTTGTATTTTCGTATTTTCCGCATTTGACATTATTTCTGCTTCAGAAATAGTGAAGAAGAATTAAACAATATTGCCGTGTTTGCCAATATGTCAAATTTTTGATCTTAGCATTAAAATTTAAGTGCTGAAAGAAAAAAAATAGATAAGCCGTTTGTGTTTTATAAATTGTTTGTTTAATTTTTTGCATTGTGTAGTTTCTTATTAATTATAAATTGTTTAAGTTTGTAGCAAAAACATCTATAAAATGGTTTGGATTAAACAAAGAAAGTTCCTTGATTTAATTGCAGAACAGATGGAAAACCTAATCAGAAGAATGAGTCAACGTTGAAAAATTTAATAAAATTGAAATTTTTCCTTTTAAATTGGACTCGAACCTGAGAATAATCGCTTTTTAGGCGGACGCTATACAAACTGACGTATAAATAAATTATCGATAAATTGTTCTCCTACGGTAATCGCTATGATTACTTGTTATTCTGTCCCGATCTACCTAATATAAATCAAGTTAAATGCATTTACTTAGTTGCCTCCGAAAAACAGTAAGTATTGTTAGATTATTATTAAGGAAATTATTTGGTTTCAAGAGGGATAAAAAACAAAAAAAAAAAGGAATAAATTGAGCAAAACTGACAAATTTTCAATAGAAAATCAAAATAGAAATCTTTTTTTTTCTTTCATTTTTCTTGTCTCACAATTTCGTTTTTTTTCTTTCTCCTTTATTGTTGATTTTACTTGTTTTTAAAGAAAAAATAAATTTTTTTTATTTGCTCATTGCATAAGAAACGACATGAATCCCTATAGTAAATTTTTAATTCATTCTCTGAAGGAAAATCCTTAAAGGGAATTAAAAAGAAACTGGATTTCATTTGGGAACACTCTACCATATATGTATGTATGTATGTATGTATACTCAAACATAAAAATTTCTTGTTTATAAAATATTCGTATTGTATGTGATTGTCTTTCTCTTTGGTAGTTCCAGGATCTAAAATTATTGGTAGCTATTTCTTATTTTTTTTGAGAAATATCAAATTTAAAAGTTTTCAAAAGACAAATAAAAATGAAATGAAATGAAATTATTTCCCCCATTCCCTATATTTTGTATTTAATGTACTCGCACAAATATATTTGGCAAGTGCGAGTATCATTATTTTGTTTTAAAAATTAAATTTAAAAATATTAAATGTCGGGTTCCATAGTATTCTATTTTAAAACTTTTTACTTAATATGGGGGAAAATAAAAAATAAATTTATAAGTATATTTATATTGTAAATATTTATTTGTACTTATATGTGAGCATGAATTATTTTGACATTAGAAATACTTAGGTTCCTTGATTTATCTATCTGTGTATGTTGTTAGAAAGTAGGACACACAAGTCGAAAAAATGTAAGAAGCAAACATACTACATGTGAGTATGTCAAAAAATAAGTAGAAACTACGTTATTCAAATGTCCTTAATAAAATTTATTCCTTGTGTATCTTGTAACAAAACAAGTTGATACTTTGATGTAAGTTCGAAAAAATCTACGTCAAATAGACATACATATTTGGTAAGTTCTTTGCACCAATTTTTTTTTTTTGAGTGTGAGTGGTTTTGACTCAGGAATAAGTAATCTGGAATCATAAAGCATATTTGAACTTTTCCATACCGATATGGAAAATGGGGTTATAAATTGCATTCTTTACAATTATAAGAATGCTGTCATAAATTTATGTCGTCCTTAACGCATACACATATATATATATACGAGTAACATTCTTCACTTTCTATTAATGTTTAAACCTAAGTAGCTTTACCATAAACATAATCTTGTGAAGATCTTCTGAAAATATTTTATGTCACCCGCACTATGAACCCCACACGTGCATTATGTCCGTTTTTCAAACTCAAAGCTTCCTTCCTGTGTATTTATGTATACTAGCATATATATATGTAAGTATATGTTTCTCAGGTGCCTGAATAACTGAAATTCTTTGTG